TATTTTATAATAGAAATAATGTAATGGATGGCACAGCATACGTGGTAAAAAGGTTTGTCGTCTGTAGGTCTGTAGTGTGCTGTTGCACAGGAGGCAGCCTGCGGAGTGTAGTGTGTCGATGAAGTGAAGTGGAGAAGTGCATGGATACAGAGGAAAACAGTGAAGCATGTTGTGGGCACCATCACTGTTGCAGTCGGTGGAGAAGTGTGAAGGAGCAAATAAGTGGAGAAGTGGGAAAAGTGATGGTCAGTGGAGATGTGTGCGGATGCAGTGGCAGTCTGTAGAGATGTGTGCGGGTGTAGTTGTGATGTGCTGGTGCAGTGAAGTGTGAAGGTTCTTTAAGGTGCAATAGTGGTCAGTGGTATAGTATATGACAGGGTTAACGTACATGCAGGTCCAGAGGGGTTGTTTTTTTGGGGGGGGTTTCTTAAGTGACAGCAAAACTATTCAGGCATATTACTTAAGTAGACATGCATTGCTGCCATTTTTACATCACCAGTGCCGCGTGCCTACATATTGCCAAGGGCAATACACAATTACACAATGGGGCTGATTTACTAAATGCAAATAGGCTGTTCATTTTTCAAGGGAATTTTCCCATAGCTTAGTAAATGTGGTGAGAATTCACTTTGCAAAAAGACTCCCTTGCAAAGTGAACAGCCTTACCTTTAGTAAATCAACCCCAATGTCTACAATGGACAGTGTGGATGATGGAAATACTCCACCACACATGTCCATGTCACATATTTGTGACTCTTGGCTGCTATAGGTGGCCAAGAGTCACAACACAGGCTGCCACTCTGGTAAAACCCAAGAAAAGAGGGGGACGGAGCTGACAAGATTCCCTGCTTTAAATGGAGGATAAAAGTGTTCTGTCATCATACTTTACATCAATCTAAGAATACTGCATTTGCAGCATTAACAGCTTTGCAGACTTTTAGCAACCTGGGTGTCCATTTGTGACATTATATAGTAGATAAGGTTAGAAAATAACACAGGTCCATCAAGTCCAACCTACGTGCGCCTGCATGCCAGCGTGTGTGTGTGTGTGTGTGTCATATTCAGATATTCATTGAACATTCACAACTGATGTTTACTGATATTTCCCAAGATGACATTAGATTGTATAGTATAATAAAGCAGTAACTTTTCTGGTTCATTATTCCTTGCACTCTGAATCTACCCTTACCAGCACCAAAGCAGCCCTAAACTATTACATTTCCTTTACCATGCTTTACAGGAAGCATCACATCACTCCTCCAGCACCTTTTCATTTGTTCTAAGTTTAAGTTTTTCTTCTTTTTTTTTTTTTTTTTTGAAAAACATTTTTTTTTTTCAGCATAAAAGATAAGTACAGCAGGAAAACAGGGACATGTTGCAATGATACAATTTGTCTTGCAATTTGACCATCACCCGTAGTTTACGGCCGTCAGGGTCCGTCTCGGTGTGTAGTATAGAGTAGTCAAGGGATTTGTGGAATAAGACGGCCACCCCCCCTTTCCTTCCTACCGCTGGGGAGCTCAACACCTCTCATACCCACAATTTGCGTAGGTGCTGAGCTTCTGTCAGAGGGAGATGTGTCTCCTGTAGGAAAACTACATCTGGTTTGAATTTAAATTTTTCTTCTTGATCTGAATCCCTGCAATTGTGACTCATTTATCCAGTCAACCACCATCCAGTGTGTGTTTCTTTTGACCATTTTAACCTATTCTTTCTCTGCCAGTTTCAAAATGGGTTATTTCTTTAAAACGTTTGCATCAGAGCCTTCTTTTTCATGCTGAAGATGTCTCTTAGGAATCTGACAATCCAGAATAACCATTAATTTGCAAAACAATAATGTTTAGATACCCTTGGAGAACTGGTAATATATGTATTATTTTTAAAGAAAACATGAGTAAGCAGGCAAAACACATTTTATTTTATTTCTTATGGGATTCATTTTCAACCGCAGGTCATAATGGAATGGCACAATCATAAAACAAATCATGGCAGCAAATAAAAAAAATGAAATGACCCCTGTTCAAAAGTCTGCATCCCCTTAGTTCTTAATACTGTGTATTGCCCCCTGCCATCAATGACAGCATGCAGTCTTTTGTAATAGTTGTCTATGAGGCCGCAAATTCCTGCAGGTGGTATAGCTGCCTATTCGTCTTGGAAAAATGCCTCTAGGTCAGGGGCGCCCACAATTTTTCGTCTGGAGAGTTACTTTTCAAATGACGAGCTCAATGAGATCTACCAACTAAAAAACACCAGCATTCAGGGGTGGGAGGGGGCATGGCTGTGCATTGAAGTCAATGTCACCGCAGCCATGCCCCTCACCCGCAGTGCGATCGCCTGCACCCGGAACGCAGGCACATTAGTGCAAAATAATAGACAGTTTTCTGGCATGATCAGTCATATTTTCAATATCAAAAGTTCACGATTTCTGCCAGCATCAGCAAACGTTTGAGCACAACTGTATGTTTGGTGCTATAAACTGTTTCTTTTGCTGGGTTTCAACTGTGCAACACTATCTGTAACAACCACCAGCACTTTGTGGCAAAGAAATTTGCGGCAGTTTGGCAAGCTAGTGGTCCACAACGCAGTCTGAATGACCCTGGAATAAAACAAGCAACAACAAACAGTAACAAAAAATGGTTATATCTAACTGGCTTTATTAGGATACAGAAAAGAAAGAACACCATGAATATGTGACTGCAGCAAAGAGAAGCTTCTTGAAAGTTCACAAAATAAAACGATAAGCAGTACTTATGATATTGCTTAGTGCCTGAGGTGACTGTAATGTAATGTAATAAATTCAACACAACTGTCTGTAGGATAAAAAAATATGTGACTTTATTAGATCACACAAGGTCATCAATAGTTTAAAAAAAGGAATGCAGATAACAGTCCAAAATATAAACGTTAAGTACAAGAAAAGATTAAATTGAAGTAACTTATAAAAAGTATGCGTTAGTCAATGAGCTACCAGCTCTGATCAAGTATTCTGACAGCAGCCGGTGGCCTCTGTCAGAATACAATGCAAACAGCAGGATTCCTTGATCGACACACACTTAGAGTTGATGGAGGAGTCTGCTCTATTTTTTTCGTTCAGCCCACAGTGTATGGCCAGCCTAATGCCAATAAATTGTCTTAACTCTCAAACTGAATGCTTACTTTGGTTGCCCTGAGGCCTTACTAGTTTAGTTCACTTTACAATCTCCAGCATAACACATTTAACTGTTCAAAAGCCCTCATTCAAACATTTAAGCCTGCCAAAGAGGCATTTTTTGGGCCCATATATTCAATTTCCTTTTAAATCAATATCAAATCATTATATCTTAATTCTCCCCTGAAAATATGATACTTAAATCATATTTTGAACATCAAAATCATTCACCTCAATCATATCACATTTACACTGGTTTTGATGTAATTGTTCCAAGGGTTTCATTTTCTGGTTTGAGACAACAAGGTTAGAAATATGTTTAAAAGAAATGTTATCTTTCAATATTTCTTCTCATTTCATCTTTGATAACTTTGTACAACCTTCTCATTTTGGCCGTTAAACTTATCTGGAATAAATTACATAATATAATGATAAATGTAATGATTAATGGATACGTGAAAATATTTTCTGCTGCAGAAGCAACTGAAGTTTTTCCTCACATAGTTACAGTATGTTTGAAGTTCTATCTCTTGTAGATTCCCTTGCTCATGTTTAAATGTTATATCTGCTTTCTGAAGTTCTTGAGATGCAGCAGTCAATACACTTTAATCCTTCTGGATAAGATCAGTCCATTCCTTCTATAGAAATTCACCTACTTGAGATATATTATACTGTATGAGACAAACACTAACATACACTGGTAGAACTTTCATACAAAACATTTCAGCAGAACATTTGATAATTGCATCAGATTCATGCCAAATGTTCAAAATTTTGTTTGATTTTAACATTTGATTTTGGAAATGAATGGAGTTTCTCAAACAAAAACCACATTCACTGTTAGAAGGAGCCAGATGGATTTTTTTTTTTATTTGAATGAATGAAATTAAATTTTTCTGTCACTACAATCA